CGGCGGGACGGGGCGGGCGAGAGGGGAGAAGGGCCGCGGTGGGACGGACAAAGGCTGGCAGACCCGCCCGGCTCCATCCTGCTCCTGCACGGTTAACGGAAGCACCCCGGGGCCTCAGACCGTAGCACCTGCAGCAGCTTGTTGCTGCTGCCTCCAGGGCGGCCTTGCCCCACCTGTTAGGTTGGTAACGGCGCCGCGCACCAGCCAGCCCGGGCACACCCGCCAGCCCGGGCACACCCCCGCTCCCGACACTTGCCCTGGCCTACGGTGTGAGCCACAGCAAGGTGAAAGTCAACTCTTCGGGGTTTATCGTGACCTTAATGTAAGAAAACACCATTTTCCCTAGATTGTAGCAGAAATTGTGCTAATACGCAAAACTGTTCCTGGATATTAGGAAGAGCAGGTGTGTTTGGATGCTGACAACCCCAGCTGTGTGTCAGCACCTCGCTGCAAGATGTGTTCGGCTGAACAGTGGTGCTCTCCCCTAAGGAGTCTGAGCACTGAGGCTCCTGAGTAGAAGCAAAGACACAGCAGAATTATTAAAACCACATGAAACTGAATTTCTTGGTGTTTCGTTGTGTGATTTCTGAGGCAACTCTTGCAAGTGTTTCAGCACACTACAGGAAAACAGACTACACTCAATTCACACAACCATTTTAGAGGTGAAATAAACAGTTTGGAGTCACAACGCTAGGAGAATCCTGAAAAAATAATTGTATTTCAGCAGGCATATCCATAGTTGGTAACAGTATCCCATGATCACTGTTACCAAGTTTCACAGACTTTGTTAGGTGTTTGAACATAGGCCTGCTTCTCATCAAAAGGACAGAAATTTCCCATTACTACCTTTAATGCTCTTTTCTCTAAAACTTGGATCAAACTTGAACTCGGGGTAGAACAGAACCAGGAGTAAAAAGATAGCATGTCATTTTGTCACTATTATATAGTCAACTTGATTAAAGATGCAAACACATTTTCAGTTTGCAAGATTTTACATTTTTTTCTAATGAAAAGCATACATGCTGTAAATTTTTAAAAAGCAGCTTTCACTCATCCTCCCTTGAACACAATCAGAAATTATGTCAGAGATTAAAATGGAGTCTTTTCAGAACACAACTACTCCAAATAGGTTAAGCAGCAGATAGCATTTAGGAGTAACAAAAACCTCAGTACTACTGCTACCTGGCAATATGAAAGTTGTTTTTCTGGTTTAACAGGCTCTGCCTCTATTACATCCCATCCTTGCAAACAAGGCAATTTTCACTCCCATAATGACCTCAATCAGATGATCTCAAAGTCTTTTAAAGATCTAAAGTTTATTAACTCTTAAGTCTTTCAGTGATTTACCTTGCCATATTACAGCTGCTAATGATGAAATCCTTTGCATCATAATGTATTTCCAACATCGGTAATGGAGAAAAATCAAGTAAAATCATTGCACGTAGTCTCCAAATTATGCCTTTCTCGCACATTAATCTTAAAATAAGTAATTTGCAACATAATACTCCTAATACAGATTCTCTCTTGCCTGTAAAATATGTGTACTGTTTTCTTGCTACTGTGTGGATTTAAATATCAGATACACAGTTACAGAGTTAGTAGCAAGGTAAAAATTACTGCTTCCCTTCCTGGCAAAGATTTATTTTGAAATTAGCCATGTACAAGGACGATGTGAATTACACAACACTGTACAGAAGTCATACACCGTGACATCTCAAAATTGCAATGCAATTTCTTTCCTCCCTTTGTTCTCACTAACTGCTATTTAAAATCAATGCTACAACATAATACTAATTAAACACTCTTATGTAGCACAGCTGATTAATTTATGCCAAGATAATGAAACGAAATTTAACCAATGATAAAATAATGAAGTAACACATTGAGAATCTGATAAAAAGCTCTGGATGAAAAATCCTTAATAATGATTCCTACAGTTGGCTTCAGTAGAACCTTTTTAAGACTCAAGTTAATTGATTCCTAAATTAAAGCATTTTTGAAGGCTAATCCAGTGTTTCAGATAGAAAGGTTTAGAAATTATCCTGAGTTACATGAAAGAAACGCATATAGACCAGAAAAATCACTGGGAATAGAAATTAGGAAATATAGCTTAAAAAAAATCCCCTCAAGGTAGTAAACAACTCATATTAGGGTCTGTACTGAGGATATATCTGTGCATTTGAGAAAGGGAGAAGATACGGTCAGTTTTGATCAGTGAAGCTGTTTTAAGAGAACAGATATCAAATTTCAGCAGCAGTTGGCCAAGAAACTTTCTCTCCCCTGCAATGCAACTCATGAGCTTACAGGAAAACTATTCTCAGACACATGGCAAATATATTTTCAAGTGGAGAAAATGAGCAAAAAGAGTTCAGCTGATGTCTCATAACTGAGAGACCAGAAAGAATTCTAATAGTTGTCACTATTCTGGCAACTTCCCCCCCAGATATTGCATGCTAGTATCATACTAGACTTCAGGGGGTTTTATTTTATTTTTCTTTCTCTTACATCACCTCAATAGTTATTACCTAAAAGTTAATTTCTCATCAGACATCATTCGCCCTCATTAAAGTTTGTAATCCTTTAATGTTTATAACGTGAAAGTTGTGGGTTAACTTTAGCAAAGTCCTCTTATGGCATGCCATCTAGTGGTTTTCTCTCAGAAGAGACCAGCTTCTGCCTTTTCCAAGACTGAAAAAGTCCTCAACAACAAATAATGACACAAATTATTTTCCACTTTTTCACTCTAAAAATTTATGTAATTATAGTACTAATAGTTGAAAATAATACTAAAGAATGGAGTGAAAATTGCTAGAGTATACCTTAAGTATACTGTTTTTCTCTTCTACTGTCCTACTCCCCAATACCTTGATTGTACAAAATATTATATAAAGATGTAATTATTAATAATAATGATTTCACAGGTAAAATTATAGGCCTAATGACTATGAAAAACGTCTATGACAAAATATGTAAGGTAGTGAAGTGGTGCTCTATCATAAACGTTTAACAAATGCAGCTGTAAACAAATACAGTCACACAGCTATATTCCTATCTTTAAACTTGCAAGAACTTAATAGTACTGAAAAAACATGAGTAAAGGCAAATTTGCAAAGTATCTTTAGATCTTAGTCTGGATATTTTAATCGGGGCTTATAAACTTGTAAGTTAACAGAAATTTTCAAAAGAGTCTGGAACTGTTTCCATTGAAATGTTTGAAAGAACCTAGATGTGTCAAGAAAGATCCACTATTTTTTTCATACCACTACGTAACATTCAAGGTCACCAATAATAAACAATTAAATCTATAAAGTATACATGTTTATATACAAAGTCTTTGTAAGACCCCAGTACTAAAGTCTGTACCATGTGTATGATACTAACCTACCAGCTAACCAAGAAACCTGTTCCTGCTGTCACCTTAAGGGGTGGTCTTCCTTCTCCCCCTCACCCCTGCAATCTTGGGTTTTCCCAGTGCTTCCCCTGAGTCAGAATTAAGTGTTTATGTGGGCAGCGAAGTCAGCCAGTTCAAGACAGTGATTCAGCTGAAATCTAAAAAACTGTTATTTTTGGTAAGCCTCGTTTTCATTGCACGAGATCCCTGATCTCAGTATCTGCATAGTCATAAAGACCCTGGCAGTGGCTGGCAAAAATACACAACCAAAGGTGGGAGAGAAGGGCAGGATCATACTTTTCTACAACTTTTTTTTGATTTCAAAAGTTCTATAATACCTGTATTTGTTAACATACAAATACAGATTAAAAAAAAAAAAAAAGGATGCAAATACTCTGTTAATAATAAGTTATAAAAGGAAATACACCAAAGGTTGGGTAGTACAACAGCTGAGAATTTTCTTAAAACCATTTTTTCCAAGAAATGGGAAGCAGTCTTTAGATTACTAAATGTAAGTGGACACTGGGACAAAACATGTTTTTATGAAATTATCTTTAATTTAAAGACAACTGTCAGTAACAATAGATTAATAATTAACTTTTTTTTTTTTTTTAAACTTTCAAGAGGTTACACCATGTTGAACATTACATTGGCCATCTCCACTGGTCAGAAGGAGGTTCTTCAACTAGAGGCTCCCATGGTTTCCACTGTATCATTTTTCTTGCCAGGGAAAGCTCATTTTCAGCCTGTTAACAAACACCATACACAAATTCTTAAATTCTGTACAACTGCCGAAGTATTAAATGACCTCTATTTCAGTTCATTATCTCAGTGATGTCACTACCTATCACATTCACAGACCACCACCAGTTTAATCTATAAATATCAAAAGGAACTGTGTGTTTTGGGGGGTTGGTTTTTGTTTTTAAAAACCATATTGAATCACCCTCAAATACAAAGACAGTTTTCTTCACCTAGTCATTCCCAATGACAACTTCATAATTTCCAGTCTATTTGGATTATCTCCCAATATTATTCAATCATCTGCCCTTTACACTGATTTAGACTCTGTAAGAAGGTAGCATGCTATATATGTAAACATAATAAAGCAAATGTGTTGTGTTTGGTTTTATTACAGTCATCCCAATCCCTACATGACAATTCATTTTCAGATTTTACCTGCACAATGACTTCTTCTATGTGACCACTGTTCAGTTTGTCCTGCAGTTTTTGCACATCAGTCTCCTGTGTATTCAAATACATATAAATGAATGCTTTGTTTTACTGAGAAGTAGAAAGCCCAGATAAAGCATGAAAACAATAATTTAAGCAGATCACACTCTAGTCTTCCTCAGAACTACCATCAAATTAGCTGCCTTCTGTCGTTTTACATTATCAAAGAAATCTCACACACTTTTCTTATTGGAAAACAAACATCAAACTCTCAATGATAAATATGAAAAATGGATACTATTAAATGACATTCAAAGAAGCATTAGCAGCTAAGGGCTTTAGTATATATCTGGTAAGAATTTTGATCATGGCTTTTTACAAAATGATATGCAACCTTCCAGTTATCACCTTAAATACACAACAGCAGTACAGCACAGTTTAATGTACTAAAAAGCATTTTAAAATGTCAAAGGCAAGGACTGTGATATGATAATCTATCGGTAAGAGAACATGCATTTTTTAGTGCAAATGTGTGGAAACTACCACTGTTTTATGAATCTTAAAAAAAATGCTTTCTTCATATTTTCACAGAAAACATCAGTGAGAAATTATTCATTTTAATATACCATCAAAATATTCCATTCAATAACAAAAATAAACCTCAAGACGTAAATTATTTCTGAACTGATACCTGAAAGTTACATATACTCCTGAAAAACACCCATTCATTTTGAAAATCATTCTCATCCTAAAAATCTTTTCACGTGTAACGTTTATGAAACATCACTGTACTTACCGTTTGCACCAAATTAAATCGTTGATTTACAATCTGCTCAGTGTATTTCCTATATGCTGCATCTTTAGGAATATTTTTCAGGATGCCAAGGATTTTTGTGTACAGTATTCGCAGGCGCTGAAGTGAGCACAAGACATGGTTAGAATACACAACTAGAATTATTTAACTTCTTGTCCTACTTAACCTACTAGCTATCTATCTATACACAAAATATAGAGGGTTACGGTATTCAATCCAGAAATGTAGGATTAACAAAATAACTAACACTGAACTACAGGACTGTCTTGGCTAAGACTGGGATTTATCAGGATTGGGAAGTTACCACTATCAGATTCCTCAAGAAAAAAGGAAAAAAAAACCAAAAAAGTAAGTTGCAATCTGAAGCACATTTGATGCAATATGGAAACAATAAAAGCTGTGTTTCTAATACTAACCATACTTCTAAAAAAATGAGGCGAATTCATGTCTAAACAATCAGTTTCTGAAAAATTACCTGGGAAAGAAACAAAAAAAGCACATAAGCTACCAAAGCATAATGAGATTGATTTTATTTTTTTGGGACTTCTCCTAATGCTGGTGCAAAGCTCTGAGTGACAGACAGATCTGAATTAAACTAAAACGTGAAACTTCTGTTGCTGGATTTAAATGCAGTGATAAAGGACAGACAGGGTGGAAGAAATTGCAGCTTTTGAGCCATATGTTGGCTGGGTAACCGCATCTAAATGAAGAAGAATGGATTATCATATAGGAACAATAAAACATAAAAGCAGATACTGCAGTCAAAGAAATACAAAGCAAAAACAGCAAATGAAAAGGGGACTGGCATAGAATCTATACTTCAACTAAAGCACTGTTGATTTCTTTACTCATGGCTTTAAGTCACTGAAAAAAAAAATGTAGTAAACTCAGCCAGAAGTGTCTGACAAGGTTGTGGACTGCTAGAATCATCTGTACAGAACAATAATGATTTCTTCTATGGTTCTTTTTGATAGTGTTCTTAACTTTTGGTGGCAAAAGCATTTTTGAAATAAAATTATTGCATGGTAGGAAATTTCAAAGCATGAAGAAATGAAAGTTACTGAAGTCCTTTCAAAGCTTATGCCTCCTGAATATGCAAGAAAGATGTGGCAAACACAGTTTTACTATTGAGCCTGTGGAGATTAAAAAAAAAAGTACTCAATTGTTACAAGAATCACGTAATGTAGTTCCCGAGAAGCACTTAAGTGTTCCAATCTCAACAGTGCTAGCCATCACAGGGCCTTGAGGTGGCTTTGCACCACTTGGTTAGCCTCTATCATGTAAGACTAGCCTACCCTCTTAGTATAGGTGTAAGTTATTTCAGTACTTGTTGGAAACACAACATAGCAAGGCAGCAATAATCTGTATGCTTGTGAAGTAGAAATTATAGTTATCAAGAACCAAATTTAAAGATTTCTTTGCTTTTGCACTGGAGATAAAAGAAATTAAATACTGGTTCATAAAAGTACTTATACAAAGGAGGTTTCTGAAATTAGCACATGCGACAAAAAGTACATGTGCAAAGTAACTCCTAACGATATGAATTAAAACTTTAAGTAATTTGCTTCCTTTTATCACTGAGACTTTTTGACGCTTTCATTAAGTTGTCATTGCTTTAAAGTACACAGCATACCTACATACACAAATATGTAACAAAAACCTTTGATCTCAGTGACAATCCCCAATAAATACAGAACAAAACACGTGACATACCTCATGAGGGTTTTCAGATACAGCCAATCCTACAAGTCCAGTGGTCTGCACAGAGAGCATAAATATGTCTAACATACCAAAATATGGAATCCCATGCAGGTTACTTTGATTTGGCTCAACATACACCTGACGGGGACCGTCCTGGGCATAAGCCTCTGCCTCCCACCACACGCACGGGACCTCACAAATCTGCTGCGTTTTGACCGGCGCACACGACGGGGAGAGAGCGCGATAAGAGGGAGCAACTCACACTACAGAGTGGCTACTGCAAAGCCTCCCGGGTGGGGCGAACTCCGCTTTACCCACCTCCTGCTCCCACACGACGAGCCCGCTCCCTCCGCTAACGGTCGCTGCTGCCCCGCAAGCAGCTGATGCCGGGCCCGCCGTCCCCCGTGGGCTCGGGGGGAGAACCAGGCCCTTTCCCCGCAGGGCGCTCCACTCTCACTCCACCACCCAGGCACTCCCTACCCTCTCCCCAGACACGGGACGGGAGTCGGCAGCGCAGGACGAAGACGCGGCAGGCTGTCCGGCTCAGGGACCTCCGCGGCGCCTCACCTTCCTCAGCGCCCCCGCCATGGCTGCGCCGCGCGAGACGCCCCCTGCACCACCCGCCGCCGGGCGCATGCGTAGCG